GCAGGCAGCAAAAGCATAACGTCGGCTGCACCAGCAGACAGGCTGTCTGTAACCACAGGTACCAACCAGGCCACCATTTAAAAAAGCAGCTCAAGGTCATGGGCACAACTCTCCCGGAGGATCCCCATGTCAACAAGCGTCTGAAGCGTGAATCAAGCCTGGCGGCTTTAGCAACAGCGCTGGGCCACGCATCCCTGGGACTGAAACAGAAGTGCCAGGGAGGCGTGACTTCACGCTTCCCTCACTCTTACAGCTTTCCCAAGGTACTCGGGGGTCGAGGCCGGAACCCGGGCCAGTCGGAGGAGTCTGCATGTTCCTGCACTCCCCAGGACCACTCGCAACAGACAGCACAGGCTTCGCATCTACAGGTCTGTCTCAGTCAAGCCCTGAACAAGTCCAATGACTCAGCAAAGGAAAAGGTCATTACATTGTGGGCTTTCAGGTAATTAAGAAAAACAATCCCTGCCATAGCTGAGCACAGATCAAAACAGTAAATCATTACCTAGAAGACAAACAGGACAAAGCAGGACAGCTCAGTAGATAAATCGCTAGGCTTCCTTCAAAAGCATCTTCTAGCTTCGGGCTGAAGGAGAAGACTTTTTCACATTCAGTATTCTGACCACAGGAAAATGACTTTTTGGCTTTGCTCTCAGCTTGCTGCCTGGATTTTTCTCCTTCTCATTCCTGGCCTTTCAGATGGAGGGAAACTCCTGGTGGTGCCCATGGATGGGAGCCACTGGCTTAGCATGCGTCAAGTAGTGGAAAAGCTCACAGAAAGAGGACATGAAGTGGTGGTAATTATGCCGAAAGTAAGCTGGCAGATGGGAATGACACAGACATACACTGTGAAAACATACCCAGTGTCTTTCACACTAGAAGAACTGGATCGTTCCTTTCATGAATATGTTCTTACTCACCTGAAGGATCTGCCTTTCCCACTTAATGTTCTTGCAATATATAACAGCTCAAGAGCCGTATTCAATATATTTTTTTCTCACTGTGAGGGCCTGTTCAGCAGCAGGGAAATGATGCAGTACTTGAATCAAAGTGACTTTGATGCTCTCCTAACAGATCCTATTTCTCTATGTGGAGCAACAGTTGCTAATTATTTTTCACTTCCCTTCATATTCTTCATGAGAGGATTTCCTTGTGGTTTACACTACACAGCAGCTCAGTGCCCAAACCCTCTCTCATATGTCCCGAGACTATTTACATTCAACTCAGACCACATGACTTTTTTCCAGAGAGTGGAAAATGCACTGGTTGCGCTCCTGGAGCTTGGGTACTGTAACGGTTTCTATGCAAAGGCGATAAAGTTTTCCTCTGAAGTTCTTCAAAGAGATGTCTCCCTGCTAGACCTTCTGAACTCTGCTTCCATTTGGCTACTGAGATTTGACTATGTGTTTGAGTATGTCAGACCGGTGATGCCCAATATGATTTTTGTTGGAGGTATAAACTGTGTTGAGAAGAAACCGCTGTCAAAGGTATGTTCTTTTCCTCCAGATTATAAATTTTTCAGTGAAATGTGATTATATGTTTTGTGACGATTTAGTGCTGTTGGAATTTTTTTTTAATGATTTAATGCAACTGGTTTTTGACAGATAGTTTCCACACGCTGACACAGAATTATCTTGATAGAGGAGGCAGATGACTGTTACTTGAATTAATGAGGATTTGCTGACAAGTCCAACAAAAAATGTTGTTTTATCTGCTAACTACAAATTACTCACCTCAATGAATGTGTATTATTCACTGACCAGATGCAGTTTTGGTTTCATTTTCATGGATTCTGGCATACATTTCTTTTCTTTTTCTTGACTAAAAATTGAAAGACCATGCTCTGATAATTTTTTTTAACTCTAGGCTCAACAAAGTCAGTCAATTTGCTTTGGTTGTATTTTCCTGACATATGGTTTCCTAACTGGCTTTCTATATGAATTTATTTCTGTTTGTAGGTTATGGTGAAACCTAAATTTCAAGTTGAAATGGAAAGAATTAATATGAAATAATATATTTGAGAAAGACACATATAAGCATAATTCAGATATGATTTCATTTTTAGTTCTTGACAGCTACTCTTAGCACAGTTGTTCTCATGGATCTGTAAAGCTAATCTAGAGGTTTAAATTGATTTTGATAGATATCATAAAGTGCATAGAACAATTAATAGCAGTGAACAATTCTTTCCAGGCACAAAGCAGGACACACGTTTCTTTTCTGTGAAATTACTCCCTCACTTTTGAATTGTGATCACCCATCTACTTGCACTACCATGTCTTTCGAGCTGAAGTTTTCTCCTTCCTTCTTTCATTTTTCTTTTATACTCTTTGAGGGACTTACGCAGAGTCCACTGAACTTCTCCCAGGTGAATAAAGAGTTAGTTGACTGCAGACCATCCCTCATGGTAGATTAGAGACTTTTTAGTTTGAGATTTAAGAGTTACCATAGCACATTCGTGCTGGTTGCATGACAGAAGTCTTTGCTTTTATATCCTGAAGGTATCAGAGCGGTATACATCTTCTACCTTATTACTTACCAAAGGGGCAGAAGCATTCTGCACTCATTTTATGCCTGATTTCTCCTGTCTTCACACTGTCATTTGGTGGAAATCACATATTCTAAATCTTGAAAAACCTAGTGTATTCCATCTTCAGTCTGGCTTTTCCTGTTTAGTTCTTTCTCACGACTATATTTTCTGCAAAGAGAATTTCTCTTGTTTCACTGCGAGCCATGCCCAGCAACAAGACAATAAGTTAGTACATGTATTTCAGTGTAAACAAATGCAAAGTGAGTCACATGGGGGGAAAAGATCTACCTGCCAATACTCAGCCATAAACTTGGGGTTGATCATTACCATTCAGGAATATGGTCTTCTGATAAGAATAGATAGTTCTTTGAAACTCAGTAGCCCATTGCTCAACAGACAAAAGAAAACAAAAGGTTGGGATGGCTAGGAAAGGGGAAGAGGGCAAAACAGAAACGGTCTTTAAGCCACTAAATGAGTCCATGGTATACCTTCATACTGACTGTTGTCTGATCCCTTATCTCAGAAATAATATGGTAGAACTAAAAAGTAGAGAGGAAGGTGAAAAGATTGATGAAAGGTATGGAAAACATCTGTAACAACAGATGAACAACAACAGGGAACAACAAAATAGATATATAGAACAAAAGTACCTGAAACCGTAAATGACATGGGGAAGATGAATAAAGAATGATTGTTCAATGTCCCTTCTAGGGCAAGAACTAGGAGATGCTGGGAAAAAACTGCCAAGTAATGGTTTAGTGATTTCACAGTAAAGAGAGGAAGGCGATTCTTCCTCCAGCGTGTAGGTGAATTCTGGAACGCCTTGCAAGTGGCTATTATAGATGCAAAGAAATTACAGGAGTTCAAAAAGTGAGTGGACAAATTAATGAAGAAGAATGCATCAAAGGCTATTAAATACAAAGACATAGGATTTGGTTCATGAGCTCCCTGAGCTGCTTATTGCTGGAGGATGGGAGGCTATTCTGGATGCATATAACTGCCACTGCTTTCTCATACTGTTACTCAGCATTCCCCTAATGTCCAGTGTTAGGGTGAGGATACTAGGTAAGACAGGTGTTCAATATCTGGTTCAGTATTAAAACTGGTGAGGAGGCAAGAGCCCTCAGCTGATCCAGGGCTTGCATAGTACGGAAGAGAAGCAACTGCGGTATTGGAATCCAAGGCAAACATATCAGGACGATGCGGACAACATATATCTCCCTCAGTGCTTTGTTCCGTCATAGAGGTGACCGTAGCGAATGCTGCCTACCTAATTCATCATTTATTGAACTGAACTCAGAAGCGGGAAATTTATTTTGGGTACCAAACTGAGATCCAATATATGCTTTGGAATTCATTTACCTGATTAAGCAATAAGCTTGGCACTGTGTCCAAACCTTTTATAATAACTGCTAATTATAAATAAACCAATGTTGTGAATGATTACCTGGTTTGCACTGAGAAGGCCTGCTCCTAAGCTTCCTTCCTTGAAGAGTTTTCTTTAGGATTTTCTTTGGTGGTTCCCCCAGCCCTAGAAGACAATGGTTACCTTACTTCTTCATTAGCTTGCTACGCAGATGCTTTTCATGATGTTCCTTGACATTTAAGACGGTGGGAAACTTCTAGTACCGTCTAAGGATAAAAGCCCCTGGCTTATCATGTGGCAAGTAACAGAAAAGCTCAGGCAGAATGGTCACAAAGTGACTGCTGACATACCAGTTGACATACCAGCACTAAGTATGTAGATGACATACTGCGGAAACATACCCATTGTTTTTACAAGAGAAGAGCTGGACAGGGGAACGTTAATGTACACCTATAAGGCCCTGTGGTCACAACCTTTCCCACTTAATGCTCTAGCAATACAAAACAGCTCAGTACAACACTGCCAGTGTGATATTTTCTCATTACGAGAGTCTGTTCAGTAACAAGGAACTGATGCAGCATCTTGTTCGCAGTAGTTTTGATGCTCTCCTTTGATGCTCCTGTGTGGAGCAACAGCTGCTAATTATGCTTCACCCTCATCCAGACTCTTTGGGAGAGGTTCTCGAAGTGATTTACACCGGGAAACCACTCTAGGAATTGTTCTGTCAGTTCTGATGGGCTGCAACTGTAATTCTCCAGGTTTTTTTTTTTAATGCAGGAGAATCGTTAGATACATAGGTCAGTGGAACCAAAGGAAGGGTGTTGGTGCTTGGCTAGCCATTTCTTTAGCAAATCCAGGCATTTGTGAGCAGTCTTGCAGTCACAGGAGAGCAGCCTAGTGATAGTTGGTGTCACAAGCCTGCCTGTAAGTGGCCCAGCAAGCACTCCCTCAGCTAAGAGGTTCCATATCTTGCAGTGATCCTGGAGGTGAGCAAACAGGTATGTTCAGGATTACAACACTCCCAAGTTTATTGCATCTGCAGTCAGGCTCTTTGTGAATGGCCACGTGCTATGGAAGGTAATCCAAGAATCCAGAGCGAGGGCAGTAACACTCACAGCTCCCTCATCTCCATGCGCTGTCTCTCTGCCAGGTCTTATGCTTCTCTACCTTCTGTAAATAACCATTTGTTTACTGTGAAGGGGACATGGACCTCTTATGTCCCTGGCAAATTTTATGACCATTGAGGAGTATCATTTTTCTCTCTCTCTAGGTCAAAAAAAAATTTAAAATTTTTATAACAAATTTAGAAGTATTTCTATAAATAAGCAAAATTCACAACAAGAAAGGACAGTGTGATGCTGAAAAACCTGGATGATTAAGGCACACCTGGAGTGCAGCTTTAAGTTCCTTCTCTAAATCAACAGAGCAGAGATTCAAAATGGGTTTTATTTTCTCTCAGAAGAGTAGTTTAAGCCACAGACCATGCTGTTACAACACTTTACCTGGTTTTCCACGGGCAGAAAAAGCAAATTTTGTCATCTAATTCCAGGACAGGACTCCTTTCTGCCATAGCTGACATTTCCCCATGGAGTACATGTTGGCGTGAAGGCATCATGGTGCTGAGGAGCAAAGCAAAGTTCAGAAACGTGAGCTATGGCAACCTTTCAAAGAAGTTCCTGGGGTTTTTTTAATCGCAAAACACCACTTTCTCATTTAAACAATTGGTTAACTTAACAGAGAACATTAAAATGAACCCTGAAACATCAGTGATTTAAGTAGGTGCTTCCTTAAGTAAAGAAGTATAACTCAATAAAAGCCTGGTGGTCTGTCCCTCCAGCACAAGGATTAAGAAAACAGGCCCTGTTCTGAAGCCCCCTTACCAGAGACAGAAGCATCTGAGAAGCTCTGATAAGGAGACATTTCTAGCTGGTCCTTTGAATTATGTAGTTAAAGAGGAATGCAGAAACTTTGGCTAGAAGTCAAAGAGTGCATTAAGCATACCAACACACACGTACCTGGTACCCTGAGAAACACCTTTCAAAAGCCTGCACAACCCAAATATCACTTTGTGTGGCCTCAGAAGGGATTCTGTCATGTCTACAGGTACTATTAATTGGTTAAAAAGGTAGCTAATATGAGTAGGTCTATACGGTAATTGTTCATTTTCAGCACTGAAATAATGGTCATTGATCTATTCGTGAACCAAGTACTAGAGTCAGTTTTGGGTGCAATATTCAAGGTGTTACTAAACCTACTGACAGTTCAGGGCAACCTGATAACATATCGGTGTCTGTTTATTATGCTTTCTAAAGAGTGTTGAACACCTTTAAAACCAAAAATACTGTTTATCTGCCTTATATTGCAATGGAAAAATACACATCATCAGGCAAGTAAGAGATGCACTACTCCTCAAAAAAACAAGTTTAACGGTTGTACATTGAACATCTTCAATGCAGTGTTCATGAACCTGAAATGGCTCTTCTAACCAAACAGTTCATCTCAGTGTCCTCTTTAGTCTGTCCTTGTCCGCCGCATCACTGTACCTGCAATACATTGAAGAACAGATATTAAGGGAGACTATAAAACAGTTATTTCTCCAGAATTTCCTTTACATCACTGTAATGGATCTACTGCCTTAGTTTCTCTTTCCAAGGGAAGTTTGTTTTCTGGTTAAATTATAGCATCATATGAGAATTGGTGTTTTAAGTACAGTATTTGCGAAAGGTCTATGCACCTGGAGAGGTTATGAGTTTTAAGTTTGCAAATATCAAGCACACTGGCTTACAAAAGTCAGGAAATATTCCAACTACAGTTACCTGGGCAGTCTTAAATGTCATATGTCTTCGTGTTAGGATATAGCCATTAATTTCAGGATCACATGATACCATTTTCACATGATTTCTATTTGTTGCTTAGGAAAGGACTGTCCTAGAAATGATCTGTGCTTTGTGATTTGTGCAGCTGCTGTTTCTCGCTAATACAGAGACTTACAGTAAGGTTACTTTCTAACTTGCAGTCAACATATCATCCCGTTTATGGGTTATTTTTCCTCTGAAGTCACGATAGCCAAACTATATACTACCTCTTTCTGTGCAGGCGAATACCAGTATAGCTCCGTGGGAATTATAGCTATGTAAAACATAAGAGTGGAATCAGGCAGGTTCCTGTTAACAGTTACCACAGTGCATTTTACTGTAATCCTTTTGCCTGGCACTGTTTAGCATCAAAATGGACTGAGTTCAGTTACACAAAGACTCCTGCTGACAAAATGTATGGGTCTGATCCATCATAGAGAAATTTGGGAAATTAAATTACATAGTCTGCATACTCGTGCATGTGAGCAGCATTTTCCTGCTTGCGAGCCATCAGTCCTAGAGCATAAGGATGTGAGCAATATCATCTAAAACATGGGAAAACAAAACCGACAGGTGAAACCAACACTTCTGGGGTAGCCTTAAGCTCAAGAAATAGCCCTGAGTCCAGTGCTGCTCACATAACAAGCAGCTGTTGAGATATCTGTTTGCTGTCCTCTTCCCTTAGTGGCACTCCCTGTTTGCTGCTCAGGTTAGAAGGAATCCACATTTCTCAGCCAACCTATCTCTGATACAAGTCGTTTGAGAGGGTATCACTACCAGCTGAAGCAATCTTAGGGTGAGGGCACCTGCACCCAGATTCCTCAACATGATTAGGGATGGTGGCAGCATCAGTCCAAGCAGGCTCAACTCCACAAAGCTGCTACCATGCCAATATAGCACAATTTGCATTGCTGTAGCACTCCTTGCCTGTTCAAAGAGACACCCTGGAGTAACCCAGCTTTTTGCCGGCGGTGCACATGAGCCGTATTGCAAGAGGTATTCCTGGAGGGCACAAATCTGAAGTTGTAGTTGGGGCGACCCAACCTTAAGCCTTGCTTAAAGTATATTTCCTGTCCTTCGAAAGCCAACAGGGAAGGTAGCTTAAACCTTATTTCAGAATGAAATGGCATTTCAACAGGGCTACCTATCCCTGTCACACAAGGGAAATGCAAATGATGGATGGCCCATACCATCCTTTCCTCACAGCTGCCAAGACGTACTCTGAGATGCTCTTCTCCAAATACAACAACAGGAGTCAGTAACGAGCACCACCCGCTTCCCGCAGTAACGAGCACACCTGCAAGGGGCCAGGTGCCCTTTGCTACTGGATAATGAAAAACAAATACATGTAAACCTACCATATTTTTTTTAATGAAATGAAACCTGTCTGTTAATTTTCTTAATAATAACTATCCGGCTTAGATCTGACCTTATAGCTTATTCTATGCTAATCTAAGAGCTTCTTTGTCCATTTGTCTGCTGTTCTCTGTGTCCTATTGAAATGGTTTATCCATAATGTCTCTCCTTTTTGCTCTCCTTCCTGTTACTGCCTGATGGTCTGGTACAAAAAACAGGGAGTCTGCCAAGCCCGTAAGAGAGTACAGCCATGCTAGCAAGAGACCTCCCAGTTGCTGCCTGACCTTTTCCACAGTTTTTGCTCTGATGGTTTGGTACAAAAAACAGGGAGTCTGCCAAGCCCATTAGAAGGTACAGCCATGCTAGCAAGAGACCTGTGCTTGTCTGGAAACTAGAAGATGGACTTTATATTGGCTGTTCACTGCCAACTAATTTTGCTGTTGAAAATCATATCCAAGTGCAGAGAAAAACATCACCCAGTAGCAAGTTCCACACAAATTTGATCAGTTCCTGCCACAACCCTTAACAATAAACTCTTTAACTCCAAATCTCAGATATTTAATCAGAATTATTCATAAACCTGTGAAATCTCATGCTTTGAGCCTGCACCTCACAAAGTTGACTCCTGCCTCTCACTTCCCCATATTAAGCCCTCTCTAGAAATAGGCTCTATATAGCTCCACACTGTCGGACTAAAGCTATTTCTTCCACCTAGGCTTGATTTTCTGGCAAGTGCTAGCACCCTTTGGGTGTAAGTAGAGACAAGCCCCATTGCCTACAGCTAGGATCTGATGCTGTATACTAAAGATGCTGAGAATTCTACCACTGCTTATAATGGGAAAGGTGTAGAAAAAAACTTTCTTCATGCTGCTGATAGTTTACAATCAGGTCTTTTGTTCATGAGGATCTCTTCCTTAGCGCCAGCCAAAAGACTTTGATTTGGCATTGCTCTTACTTACATAAAGACAAAACATTCCTCCAGCAAAGCCCCGAGGGCCTCAGTTCACTGCATTTTCCCAGAGCAAAGCAGTGAATGCCAGCAAACTAGAGGTCTGCACGACCCCAGTCAGAGCTCTGTTTGGAAACCCAGACAGGGATGTTACCACCAGATTCTTTTATTATGGTCATAAAATAATCAGATCCTCCTTAGGCAACATGAACTCTATGGATACCCAATGAGTGGATTCAAACCCACAGCTCCAGGTACCATGTTGCAGGCTAATTTAATCAAGAGAGGATCTCTCCTCCCATTAAAGCCAGACCACTGTGCAAAAGGGAATGTGGAAGAGGAGAGATGAGTTTGCAGCTCAGTTATGGCTCAGAGCTAGAAAGAGGTCAAGACAGCTGGTTATGGGTGCCCACTTTACCCTCTGTATCTGTGAGAGGAGGAGAGCTCAAGGGCTTTACTTGCTCATTGGGTCTTCTGTGTGCATGTGTGTGCGCATTTGTGGTATCAATGGTTTTAGTAAAAGATATCATATCTCTTCCCAAATTTTGTCTTGCTTGCAATATATAAACAGAGTTCTCAGCACAGTAACCAAAGACCCAGACTCTTCCTTTCTGCACTAAGCAACCCTAACCCCATAAGGTCTACTGTGGCCTCCTTTGCCTTCATCTGTCCTGAACTCATCATGTAGCTGATTTTTTGTCTAGTACCGTGGGGTGAAAAGCCAGAGCAGGTTGTTGTTGTTCTCCTTTTCCTCTCTCCTCCTGAGATTTGGGATTGCCCACAGCCTGGCAGCTGTGATACCTGTGTAAGAGATGCATATATGATTACTTCCAGGAGGTGGGAATTTAACATCAGCCTTGTCCATTGGGGTTGTGTTCCAATTATTAAACTGGCCTGTAAAAGAAATGGTATTGCCATTTCCATTTACTCTGCTGGGCTTCGTTTAAAGGTTGCCTTTGGAAAGTAAACGGGTCTGTTTTCTGACTGGGTAATTATCAATTCAATGGTATTAACCTCAAGTATATTAAGAGATGACAGCTCTGCTCTTTTTAGTATCATGAAAGAAGGAGCATGCTGACATACTTCTAAGTTTAAAAATTAACTAAAAGTGCAAAGGGGGACATATCTTCCTCTTCCCTGTTATATAAGCAATTTCAGTTAAACTGCAGTTAAATATTGAAGGATAACCAGAAAAATATTGCAAAAGTTAACTAGTTATTTGTGCAGTCAGTGAGTTTCCTGTAGAAAGTTAAGGCTTGCATGGACCTTCATATAAAAGTCTGTGCTGGATACCTCTAGGGCAGAACGTTCCGGTTTCCTTCCACCAAAATGGCTCTTCCATTTCTACGATTTTACCAACGTGCTGTGATATTTCTTCTTTTGGCATTGTCTTCAATCTTTGCTGAAGGTGGAAGGATCCTGGTGATACCTCAGGATGGAAGTCATTGGCTCAGCATGCGCCTGTTAGTGAGGAAGCTTCAGCAAAAAGGACATGAAACTGTTGTGGTACTACCATCAACAAGTTTGCATATGAAGCCAAAGGATCATCAGAATTATACAGTGAAAGTATATCCAATACCTTATGCAGATGAAAACTTAACTGTCACATTCAAGTCATTTATTAACGATCATTTTACCGAACAATCTGTTTTGAATATTATTATTACAATGTATCAAAGCATATTAAAAATTTCCAGGCTCTTTTTTACCAGTTGTAAGAGCCTTTTGCACAACAAAGACATAATGCAAGAGTTGAGAGAGAGCAAATTTGATGTGCTTCTCACAGATCCAGTTCTGATCTGTGGACCGATAATTGCTGAGTATCTTTCAGTTCCGTCTGTCTACTTCTTGAGAGGATTTCCCTGTGGTATGGATTTTGAAGCTACCAAGTGTCCAAATCCTCCTTCCTATGTCCCCAGATTCTTCCTGAATAATTTAGATCACATGACATTCATTCAACGTGTGAAGAACTTGCTGGTCAGTGTACTGGAGCTTTTCTACTGTCAACCTCTATTCAGTCCCTTTGAAGAACTTGCATATGAGATTCTTCAAAAGAAAGTGACTGCTGCAGAGCTTCTAAGCCATGCATCTGTTTGGCTAATGAGGTACGATTTTGTGCTTGAGTTCCCGAGGCCAGTGATGCCAAACATGGTTTTTATTGGAGGGATAAACTGTCATGAGAAGAAAAGACTTTCTCAGGTATGAAATTTAATTTTATTTTTGTTGAAAAGGCAAGAACAGGAAGGTGTAAAAATTTTGCACTTAAAACTGACAGCAGCTTGATATTCAAAGTTAGAAAGCAAATGACTAATGCTACATGATGCAGAAATGTTATATTGCTCTGAAAGAACGGCTTGAGTAATGGCCATAAGCACAATCTGCTCTCTGTCTGTCCCATGTTGTCCTCCCTTCCTGGCTGTCTCATGGACAGTCCATCCGGACACCTCAGGCACATACTGGCTTGCCAGGAGCAGTCAAGGCTTTGTGGGCTGTGCGAGCTGTATGCTCTAGGTATTGCTGTTCAGTTCTGGTGATGGTTATATAAGAAGCTGGCAGGATGGAAGGCACCCAAGTCTGGCATTGAGAGCAGTCTTGGCATCGGGGCTGTCAGCAGAGGCACAGATGTATCTGGGGATACTTCCATGTATCCATTCTCCCTTTACTTACAGTGAAGGTTCTAGGACTAACATCTCAGCTCTAAGTCAGTTTTTTTTCTGTCACATCCATCTGCCAGACTGCTTCATTTCCATCTTTCCTATTATGTCAAGGCATCGATATCAAATGAGAAAAGCAGATACAGAGAAAAACAGATGAGAGTTAAAGTGCACATTTGGAAAAAGACACAAATGGCTTCAGCTGCAGTCAAGACTGCTAGAATTTTAAAAGCTACCTCAAAAAGAAAGCCTTTTAAAAATGTATCTTGACATCCTTTATGGGTTATCTAATCAGGTTTTAAGCCTTTCAGGGCATGGACCTTCTGTCAATTGCCAGTCATGTTTTTGGGTACCAACCCAAGGTGCCTGAACTAAGCACAATATATTCTATAGCAAATCTAAAGCAGGGAGGTGATATTCAAGCATTGCATATTGTGAGTGAAACAGAATAGTGTAGAACAAATCCCTACTACCTTCCCTTTTCTCCAGATATATATGTTTAGTCCTCGTATTGGCAATGGGAGGGCCAATTCTGTTACCAGGACAGTCTCAGAAACGGGGCAAGCCATTTAGTCCTAACTGGTTGCGTATGTTTGAATGGAAGGAAAAAGGGTAGCTGTTGCTAACAAGGCATCTTGCAAAAGAACATGGACTCATGAATCGGAAAGATTGTGGATCTGATATTAAAGAGCCCAGCAGATACAATCTGTAAGTGCACCACACAAGAAGTGCTTGACTGTCTTTCTTCATCTGCTAGAGCCTAGCTTGAAAGCATCTTCCTCTAGTGCTCATTGGACAGCCTTTTCAGTGCTTATGAGCAATAAGTCTATTCTGTGCATCGCCTTCTCCTGAGCTGTTTGAAAATTGTCATTAAGTTACTCCTGAGTCATAAGCTGCTGATGGTGGGATAATGCCAGCAATGGAGCTAGCAGCTCTTTTTGAAGGTAGGTTCGCAATATGGTTGAAGCTTCCCCACAAGGCTTGGAAATAAGTATGCAGAAACTGCATGTGGGAGAAAGCCCCACCAGAGATCTAGAGCCTTGAAAGCCCTGGAGGAGAAAATCATACCCCGAACACAAGCACGTTTTTCTTGGTTAGGGAATGCCCCTGTCCAGCCACTTACTTATAAACTTTTACTGTGAGCAGTTATTCCCATGAAACAACTGCTTTTAAAAAGCTAGCAATTTACAACTGAGAAGGATTTGGCTCCACAGAGTTCATGAACCGTTTCAGTCATGAGCTGAACTGACATGAGTTGTGAACTCATGAGTTCAGGAACTAGAAACGTTTTATTGATTTGTGTTATCTGAAGTCCAATGGTGAAATTTTATTTTCCCATTTAGCTTTATACCTAAAAGGATGAGGGGGTAGATGGAAGATGCATGTAGGAAGGAGGAATATTTTTCAGTTGGCTACTTACCTTCAAAAACATAGGTTTGAATCAATGAAAAAAGAAAGTCATTTTTCTCAATTGTACCAACCGGTTTCGGTTATTAGAAAGGTTAAAAAACAGGTACTTCAACATTAGTTTTTCATATATATCTTTACTATAAGTTATGTTTCCCTGTACAGTTGACCTCAATTTCAACAGAAAAGAAAATGATCATAAAAAAGTAACCAAATTCCTACAGTCTGTGACAACTGTGGCAGCCTTCTGTCCAACAGAGAACTCCTACACTGTCTAGAAAAGAGTAACTTTGGTGCACTCTTTATAAACCCAGTAATGCCATGTGTGGTGATCCTAGCAGAGTTTCTGTTTGTCCATTCTGTGTATTTCTTTCATAGATTCTCATATACTTTAGAGCATGTTGTCAGTAAATGGCCAAATGCTGTTTATGTCCCAAGGTGTTTTACCAGCTACACAGACCCCATGGCAGTCTCCCTACGGGTGCTGAACCTCCTTGTCAGCATATTGGAGAGCTTACTATCTTAAGGATTTTCACTACACATTCGAGGACATTGGTTCAAAGTGTGGAAAGATGCGCATCCACCAATACTTTGTTGAACATCTCTGGATAACAAGATACCATTCCCATTATGCCCCACAGTCTCTTCACTGGAGGCATCAACTGCAAGAAGGGGAGAAGCTTATCTAAGGTACATGAATTTCAAGGAGGCATTTTGTATTTGGTGTAAGAGGAAGGCTTACATAGCAGTAAGAATATCGGATGGGTTTGAGAGACAGTTTCCCATGACAGATTTTCTTTGGGCAAGTCTCCTCGTTTTCCTTGCGTTGGCAGCATTGTAAGATGGTTAGAATAGTCCTTCCCTACTTCACAAGTGTACTGGGATGGGAAGCAAATGAAAGTCTGAAACTCTTAGACTTCATGCTGATAAGAATGATGTAATGATTTTAGACAGATGGTAAGTTCAGTACTATTACATTACTACTAAAATCTAAATATGGTTACAGATAATCGATTTGCCAGTATGAAAAGCTACAGATTTGTGTGGTCAGCTAAAGGTCAGTGCCATCTGTGCACCTGGAAAGTGTTTGGTAAGAGGGACATAAATTTGTGAGCCTCGGTTTACTTTGGCACTGGCAACAAACGCTCCCCATCTGAAACATCCGAAAAGGGATGTTGTGGCATATTCATCAACCCACACAACTACCACCCACAGCTCTGTATCATGGGACCATCCCTGAGAAACGAGCAGATAGAGAGTAGATGGGGCGCACAGCTATCACAGTCTGATCTGGGCAGAAGGAAAGGGAAGATCGATTTGCATCTCCCTTCCACATCAGACCTGCAGTTGTGCTGTGCTGAGTTAATGTTGCTGTAAGGGTGCAGTGGGAGATCACGGAGGACTTGGGTCTTTAGAGATTATTCCAGGTGTGTGGACATTAGAGCAAAAATTCCCAGCTGTGGGCAGTTTAGTTTCCCCGCTTTTGGGGGGAAAAGGAACGGGAGACAGGCAGCAGCTATTCCCAGTCGCTTGCGTGACTCCTGTTCATATTCACATAGTTGTTTATTGGCACTACCTGGCAGCATGCAAGGGTAACTAAGCCAAAACATAAGGCTGGGCATGCACTAATTACCTTCAGTGAACATCTACCCTGTGGTTCAGGTCACCTCAGGATAGTAGTTGTTTGCACTCCATATAGTTACAGCAATTAGCCAACAGAGAACTGAGCTGATTCATTCAGCAGCTAGCAGCCCCTTGTATCCCAGTGCGCTGTGCTCAGAGACAAAAAGGGTGAAGAGGCGAGATCAGGCTTGCTGTGGTTTGGGCAAAGAATAGAAGATGAGTTGGGGTCCAAGTTGCTGCATTACCAGTGGTAAAAAGGATCGTGAGGCTGGGGTCCGAGTATGGCAAGAAGAAAAGAAGATTGAGAGGCAGTGAGCTATAGTCACAACTTGGGAGAGTAAAGTATATCATAGGAGATACACCTCTTTCCTTACGCAAACCCACTTTCAAAGTACAACACCCATTTCAACCTTTTATAATCATTAATCTTCTACTGTGAACCCCATTGCGTGCAAACCTATGAACACCTAAGATGTGAAACAAGTTGAAAGGGCAGAGGTATTGAAAGAAAACATTGGCAAGAGGTGTGTTTGCGTAGGTGGAGCGCAGCTACAAAAGCTTGCTAACTACCCCCAGCCTCTCTGGTGTGCAGGCTCACGACATGTTGGCTGTGGTGCTGCTCCCCTTCTTGTGCTGTCTAAGCTCTGCTGCTGCAGGGAAACTGCTGGTGATACCAATGGAGGGTAGTCACTGGCTGAGTATGAAGGCAGTGCTGGCTGAGCTGAGCAAGAGGGGGCATGAAATAGTTGTCATTGCACCAGAAAGCAGAATGCTCGTAGATTCTTCAGCGATGTACACACTGAAAACGTATCCTGTACCTTTCAAAAGGGAAGACTTTCAAGATCTTTTGCGCTCATTTGGTATGGACACTTTTAGTGAAAAGTCTTTTCTGTTCAGATTTTTGGACATTTGGAAGGGTTTTAAAAAGAGCTCTGCCATGTTTAAAGCCACCTGCGAATCCTTGCTGTACAACAAAGAACTGATAAAATATATTGAAGAAAGCAAGTTTGATGCTGTCTTTACAGATCCTATGACACCCTGTGGACAGATAATTGCTTTGCACTTTTCTATCCCTACTGTTTTCTTCTTGCGCGGCATCCCTTGTGCTGTAGACATTCATGCTGCTCAGAGTCCGGACCCACCATCTTATGTCCCACGATTGTTCTCACTCAATACAGACCATATGACATTTCCTCAGAGAGTGAAGAACGTGCTGATAAGCATTTCGGAGTTTTTCCTTTGCAGTATTGTCTTTTCGCCATTTGAGAGTCTGGCTTCAGACTTTCTCCAAAAGCCAATGACAGTTACGCAGCTTTTAAGTCATGGATCCATTTGGCTGAAGAGAACTGATTTTGTCTTTGACTATCCCATGCCTGTGATGCCCAATATGATTTTCATTGGAGGCATAAACTGTGGACAGAAGAAGCCACTATCTCAGGTCAGTGACTATATGGGAAAGACTGTAACAGGGGAAAAATTCAGGCAGTCAAATGCCTGCGTGATCTGGGTGACATGTAATGGCATATTTGATGTGGGCATTATTTACCTAGGGAATCTCTTTTTAGTAATTGCTACTGTGGATGGTCTTATTCAAGTATCAATTTATTAAGAAAAAAAGTATTTAACTTGGCAGCAGATTAAACTAATTTAGCATAAGGCACTCATGGTATATTTGTGAACCACTGCACAGAAAGTTAGATGAGAGAAGCCACTTCACATTACATTCACCCCATGCCTTATAAATTAAATTAACAAGCCCTCCTAGCAAAAGGTAGGCTCGGATCTACATGACACACAGAGTGGTATAATTGACCAGCAGAACAAGATGTAACTCCACCTCCTCGTCTTGGTTCTGCCTGACACAGTGATTTTGTTCTGGGAGAGGATCCATCACTTGCTCACTTAATGCAAAAAGGTGGCTTGTAACAGCTCTTCCAAAAAACCTTTATCCCACAAAAGAGAATTGTTTCAAGAACATAAGCTGCTCATCCATTCAGAACAGTAACTCACTGGGTTATGTGCAATATCGTCATTTTATGTCTTCTATAACAGCAGTATTGTATATGAGTGGAAGGCTAATACTGGTGAAATGGTTTTGGGCTAAGCACAGCTTCTATTGCAAGAACTAGACAGCTGAATTCCAAACTGAAGTCTTTTTGGAGACATCCAGTTCAGATACGGAAATATACTGATGGGTGGCTGCTTGGGTATCTGGTCTAAAAAGGCATTTCCTTCCTTGTGCTTATACTCTTGCACGGTTCAGCCATGCTCTCCAGTGAATGTTGTGGGATCTTCAATGCTGCTAGCTTGTTGCTCCTCATGATGCACGTTAGCTTGTTGCTGCATGTGAGATATGTGAGCTTGTTGCTGCATGTGATGTAAGTAGAACAGCCTTGTGCTGCAAAGCCTGAGGATAGCGGGAAAAGGTTAGACAAGAGGAGGTAGCTGTCATCATTAGCTGCTGAATCTGTAGTTAGCGTGATCCAGCAGTTTCAGAACAGAGCAGTAAATCACATTTTAAGGATAAAGTGCTATCCTTTGTGAATGCTACTTAAAATCAGGCAAGCTCTTCTCTACTCTCTTTTCACCTAGCAGCTTCCTCTGAGTCCTAGGGAATGGATTCCTCTGTGTCCTACAGTCTGTCACCAGCTCTACTCTTCTCCCGCATTCACAGGCCTTTGTGAACATGAATGAAGGAGGCCTCACAACAAAACGGACTGGCATTTTACAATGGTGTCGCACCTTCCCTCGAGTCATCCTTAACTGCTCTGAGGGCATTGCCGTACTCCTCCCAGTACTTCGTCTGATGATACCCATTGAAAGTCCTGACTATTTCTGTGGAGCTTGCTAGTGTTCAAATTGCTTTCAATCTGCCCCGGACATGCCTACTTTTACCAGGGTAGTGCCTTTTCCTATCTGTTCTATCCATCAGGGCTGCTGAATGCATCCTTCAGGGACAAACCCAGGACAATCCTGTGGGCAAGCAGTGAGACCAGTTTGGCCTACAGGTGAGCCCCTGTGACAGCTGTGAGTTAAAATCAGACTCTCCTCTGAGGACAAAGCTCACTCTCATTCTGATCTTGCTCAGGAGCTAAAGATCATAGTCCAGCAGCAATATTTATTACAGGAATACCAATTCTTTATGCAACCTTCAGCAGTGCTTCCAGGCCCGACTTCTTTATTTGTTCTCTTCCTACTATGCCTGTGCATCACAGAATTACATTTAATGGCCAAATGTAGTTCTGCAAATACTTGTTAAATGCTGAGACATGGACTCTTACTTTTAGTTTTTCATCTGAAGCAAAAACACCGCCACTTACCATTTAAAATCAATTCCTGCCCGGAAAACAACAGGACTGTTGTTGGCTACTTCTATGCGGTCTTTCTTGTACTTAGTGAGGTACGAGGGGAATGGAATGGCTTTTCCTTCTTACTGCTCCTGGAAGACTGCAATGCTCCAGGGAAGCACAGAGAGATAGGATAGGATGAGAATGAAGCAGCGACTGTCATGCATGACAGCACAAATAACAGTAGTTTTCCTTTGCTCATGCAAGCCTCTGTGGCAGTGATGCTTCTTGTAATACATTGGTAGCTGGTTTTCCATCTGGCCCCAGTGCTGAGCTGTATGTAAATCACAGAGCCCCCTCCTTAGGATTTGCACAGATGTTGTCCTGTACAGCAGCAGTATTTTATCATTTGATTTCAGCATAAACCTGATGAGCGTTTCAGAGTAACTGTAAAATTCTTTTCTCAAAACATTTCTGCTGATAGTGGTGTTAGTCAAGGAAGGAAGTACGGAAGGAGAGAGAGAGAAAGAGAAAGAGAGAAAGAGAGAAAGGAAGAAGGAAAGAAAGGGAGAAAACAACTCTGAACCTTCATTAACAAGTCAGGAAATGCTGTATTTCATATTGCGAGTCCTCCCCCCCCTCTCCCCTTCTTTACGGCTGGCTAAGAAACTGGCAGCCTTGGAGCCAGACATGCTTTTAATGTAGCTTGTTCATGTGTATCATGTATTGCAGTTCAGAAGGCCAGATATATCAAGTTTAAAAGCGAGGAATTCACAGAAAACACCAGACTCTCAGTCTGATCAAAAGCTTCCTCTATTTGGGGGTATTAAGGCAAACTACCTTGGCATCTGCAACACCTTCTCAGCAAAATTAGCTACAGACTGTTTCTTTATGGCAAGTTCCTGCTCGTTCTCTAGGAGAGTAACTTCTTGGACTATATCTCCTATCATCTTCTGACGAATCCAATCCTAATATATCATTTAATTTCAGCTCTGTGACTAACATGCTAAAATATCAATAGTACTAATATTTTCAAGAGAAGTAACCCTTGCTCCCCTCAAATATAATATCTGTGAAAATAATGGCCACATCTTGTTCCAGCAAATCATAATAACCTCTTCACTGGCTGGAGAATTTAACACAATGCCTTAGCTATTGCTCGTGTTAAAACATAGTGTGTAAGAAATACAGCATGAACAACAGGTGTTTTAATACAGGCTTTCAGCAAGCCCAGTTACTTCCAAGTGCCAGACTTGGACTTTTGTTTTAATAAAATCGAATTTTATTTTCAAACTGACATCTGGCATACTTTTAAAAACAGTAGAGTGAAACAATCAGAAAGGACCCACTCCAAGGGAGCACCAGATGCTAAGCTCGGTTCTGCCCCACCCAATTTCATTTATCACGTTCCTTAAATTTTCATCAGTGACTTGAATGATTACTAGTAACTGGTTTTACGGGAAAAGCTGGATCGTTAAGCGGGAATGTGAGAATGTGGCAAAGGACTGTGGGTTTACATAAAATCTGTTAGCTCAGGGCAGAGGACCAGACTTTGGATGTCTAGGAACATGGCTCTTGTGAGTGAACACAGTTACCTAGTTTCTGTAGGGTTCTTTGCTTTCCTGTCTCTGTTTTGCTTGACTGATGGTGGAAAGCTGTTGGTGGTGCCAATGGACGGGAGTCACTGGCTCAGCATGCAGTCAGTGTTGGAGGCGCTCAGCCAGAAACAGCACAAAATTGTCGTTGTTGCACCAGAAGTAAATTTGAACGTGAAGGCATCTGAATACTACACTCTGAAGACATATCCAGTGCCTTTAACTACGGAAGAGCTGGGAGCAAGCATGCATTCATTTGCTAATGATCTTTTTGAGAGAAGACCTTTTCTCCAGAGAATCACTACTCTGTATGAAAAAGTTCAAGTCATCTCTGATCTCTACTTCTCCTCCTGTACCAATTTACTGCACAATAAGGATCTGATGCAATATCTTGAAGGGATTAAGTTTGATGCTGTTCTCACAGATCCTGTCGTACCATGTGGACAAATAATGGCTCTGCATCTCTCTATCCCATCTATTTTCTTTTTACGAGGACTCCCTTGCAGTTTTGATTTGCAGGCTGCTCAGTGTCCAGACCCTCCTTCTTATGTCCCAAGAACATTTACAGACAACTCAGACCACATGACATTTATCCAGCGAGTGGAAAACTTATTTCTCAAGTCATCAGAATCCTTTCTTTGCAACTTTGCTTATTTGCCGTTTGAACATCTGGCCTCAGATTTTCTTCACAGACCAATAACAATGAAGGAGCTTTTGAGTCACGGATCCATTTGGCTTAAAAGAATGGATTTTGTTTTCGAGTATCCCATGCCAGTGATGCCCAACATAGTTTTTATTGGAGGTATAAACTGTGGACAGAGAAAGCCATTATCTCAGGTCAGTAATTTCCTTAATAAAATATATGAAAGTTTGAAGGAAAAATGCCGCTTGCAATCACCTTGCTATATGCTCTGTATGTGTATAATTATATTCATTGGTTCGTGGGATTTACATGTGCAGCAAGGTGTAGTTTAATGATGAAGAAAATAGGTGAGACACTAACTTGATTTCAGTTCTCTCCCATTATTGCAGGGACTCTTCTGCAGTATTAGCAGGATCTAATTGTTTTTGCTTAGACGATGTAGGAGTAGTTGTTGTTTATCACAGCACTCTGACTAACAAGGCACAAAGCCACCAGTGAGGGTGGTCTGTGGGTTAGTAGCAGGGGCCACGGCTATCATTACCTCAAACTATTTATATTTTACTGTCAAACTGGTTTTTAGAAAAAAAAACCCAATTTTTTTCAGTTCACAGAGCATCTTTTCATAATTTAGACATAAAGTATCATAATGTTTCAAACTGACAGGTAGTGTTCTCATTGTTCTGTCAGCTCAGGCTCAATGCCTTCCCAGCATTGATTCCTGTTGCAATTTTCTGTAAGACTATTGGAAGATTTCTGCAGCTGCTAGCCAGCACCAAGCCAGATGCAACAGCTTACATTGTCTTCTGAAAAGGTTGCCTAAAATAGACTCTATCTAGAGCTGGAGTAGACCAGTAAAGGTCCATTAAAAAAAATCTGATGTATACTAGCAATCTCCGTGGTAACTTCTTGTATTGTCCACAATACTTATGGGCAATCGTTTTTATCATCAATTTTTATAATTTTTTATAATATTTGCAGGTTGTCTGCAAATCCTGGCCTATGCATTAGTGTCGTTGGCTTTCATGCCTTGGGAGCATTTTCTTCCCAGGCTGATCCAGAAAGGTTTTTATGAGTTGTTAATCCTATTTTGAATAGATCTGGCAAAAATCATGCTCTTAGCCTCCCCTCTTCCAGCCTCTATCTCTTCCTCCCAAAAAAAGGCCTTTCAGTGAAATGAACTTTAGCTGTTTTCCATTTTTTCATTAGACAGTCAAAATGTAAAAAAAAAAAAAAAAAACCCAGCCCATTTCCCATAGCAAGAGTTAATATTTTTCTATTGTTTTATAAACAAAATGATTTACAAGGGCAGGAAGGGAGGAACTGATTTATTTACTAAATACCCTTAGTTGGAAAAAGAGTGATTTGTTAATCAGCACATTTTAGGGGAGCCACTTGATGAAGGATCTTCTAATTTCCTTAAACTGTAGCATTCATCCAATAGAAAGAGTTGGGAGTTATCTAGTATAGCTGCTGTTCTAATTACAGCCATGCTGTATGCTGAACTTTAATATCTCTTACTCTGTCTTTTGCCACATCAGTGGTTATACATTTACTGCAGCAAATTAGTCCAAAGATCAGTAGTTAAAAGGGTAGCACAGATAGCTTAAAAGCGTGGAGCTTATATTCTTTCTGTGCCGCTGTCACAAGATTTCTGCAGGAATGGCTCTGATGCTTAACTCTCATGCACACATCACAGTGGCGCTAGTTCTGTTCCTGTCCATGCTCAGTTTGGCTGCTGGTGGAAAACTGCTGGTGGTGCCGGTAGATGGAAGTCATTGGCTCAGCATGCTGGAAGTGTTGGATGGTCTCAAGCAGAAAGGACATGAAATAACCGTCGTTGCACCTCAAATAAGCTTACATATAAAGCCTTCAGAGAATTTTATTACCAAAATGTACCCCGTACCTTTCACACAGGAAGAGCTGCGTGAACGTTTCCATTCTTTCTCACAGGGAACATTTGAAGAAGGATCTTTTCTGGAAAGATTTGTTAAAACATTCCAAAGAACCAGAGGACTCTCTGCCCTGTACCTGTCTGCCTGTACACACTTACTATACAACAAAGAGCTTATCAGATATCTTGAGGAGAGCAAATTCGATGCTGTCTTTACAGATCCCTTTCTACCCTGTGGGCAGATACTGGCAGAGCATCTTTCACTCCCTTCTGTGTTTTTCTTAAGGAGAATACCATGTGGTTTAGAACTTGAAGCCACTCAGTGTCCTAATCCACCTTCTTATGTCCCTGCGCTAGCTACAGGCAATACAGACCGTATGACCTTTCTTCAGCGCATGAAAAATCTCATTTTTGACTTACCACGTTTTTTTATCTGTGATTTTGTTTATCAACCGTATGCGACTCTGGCTTCCGAGTTCCTTCAGCGGGGCGTGACTGTGTCACAGCTCTTAAGCCAGGCATCCATTTGGCTCATGAAATTAGATTTTGTGCTTGAATATCCGAGACCGTTGATGCCTAACATGATTATAATTGGAGGAGTAAATTGCGCTCACAAGAGGCTTCCTCAGGTGGGTCATGTTCTGTTTTTTCTGGTTTTTGTAAGCGTCTATGTTCACTAGGGCACTTTATATCACAGATTTTCTTAGAGAGGCATTTTTAACTGAGTGATAGTAAAGGATTTCAAACTGATTTTCTTGTCCTTTGCCAAGAAGTTCCAGTTCTCATTTCAGTGACGGCATCAGTGTATTCATATAACTATCTATTTATCTTTCTGTCTATCTAAAGGTCCTTTCCAGATTCAACTGTTCTGTGATTCTGTGATTCCCCATTACAGTGAGATATTTTCCCGTTTATCACTGGAACGAAAAAATGCACAAAGTTACCGCAACTAACTCACTGTAAGGCACATGAGAATGTCTTCTGTACATCTCCTTCAGTTTTTGATCTTTTAATATCACCTCATTGTATCAACTAGAGATATAATTTTGCTTAATCGGGCCTCAGAGTGGAATGACGTTGCTTTACCTTTTTTTCGGACGAATGAGAGAATCCAGGTAAGTGTGAAGTTTGAAACTCTTTCCCCTTTACTGCAGATTCCTTAGGTGGTACAGTCCTTCTTGCTGTCTAGAGAATGGCCTCTGAGAATTGTTTTTCTTAATACACGACACAGAGAGCTTCCTATCAAATAAGTTTTTTTGGATACACTTAGTATTAACCTTGTGATATGCTTATCAAGCCACGGTACTTTTGGCTAAGCTAGACATTGCATGAATGAGGTTTTCCATCACTTCTACCTGTCCAAGCAAATCTCTTCACGGTGCAGCTCAGCATAAAGAGCTGAGCTCTGTTCTTTGTTCAGAGGTCACTTGGATCAGGCGTACTTGGCTAAGGATATAAAAAGTTTCTCTTCTCTATTCCGCAGTTGCTGCTTGTTCAGCTACCATTCCTATAGTTTGTTTTGGAAAGGTCCAACTTCCTGTCTGTGAGTCAAGAGGTCACCAGCTTCCTAATTTCTTTCCAACCTGATGGTCAAGGAAACTGAATTCTGGCTAGCCTGCTCATTATTTTTTCTCGTAGTAGGAATTAAAGATTGTTTACTGGGTCATCTTCTGCAAGAGCCGTCATAGCTTGTCAGACCAAAGGAGCAGCTAGCCCAGTGTCTTGTCTTAGGCAATTGTCAGCAGGAGATACACAGAAAGGTGTTCTAAAACAGGGCAAGGACATAGTGATGGTTCCCCAAAATGTTCTCCCGGTTTCCGATGCTGTGGCACATAAGTGGTATTGTTACACTTAACCCTTGATAGACTTTTTACTTTTATTCCAGTTTATCTAATTGCGTTTGTAAGCTTGCAAACTTTTGACATCCAGACTACCCCACCTTTTCCCATTCCATGAAATATGACTTAATGGCAGATGCAGTCTGCTTGGTCAGGCACTTCTTTTAAGCACAAACTGCAGAGATCTGTTTTTCTAGGTTTATCTTAAAAGTTTTCCTGTCTACGCATGTTCTCCCAATCTAAGAACGCTTTTTGTCTATAGGCAGCTATTTCATTCACCCATCTTTCCCCTGGAACTCATTTGGTGCAACTTCAGCCCAGATTCTCAAGAATAATTAGGCACGTAAATCCCATTCAAGTCAACATGATTTGGATATATAAATGAGTCCTTGGAGTGGGACTTTTTTCAAAACTAGATCAGGTCAGCAAGTCTTGAAAATGTCAGAGATGAAAAGCTTCCAAATGTTCCAACTGAATCTCCCATGCTGCAATTTGTGGCCATGGCCCCTTGATATATCAGTTGCTGCTACCCAGAAGAGCTTGGCTCCATCATCTTTGTTACTCCCCTTCAGGTAGTTGTTGGCTGCTGGAGAGTATTGTAGAGAACAAGACTTTCAATGTGGATATTTTTCTGTGCGGTGCCTTCAGACTCTTAGTACAGCACACACAAAAGCAGCTTGGAAGCTCCGTCTTCCCCTTTGTCTGGTAATCACAGGGCAGAAGTGTGGACTTCCTATTGGCTGATACCACAGGCAAGCACTTTTGGCTTCTTTTAAAAAGTAGCTATTTTTTAAGAACTTTAAAAAAGAAGTTTGGCCCACAGCCACTCAGCTATGATCTCGTATAGCCCCTCTTGAGCAAGAACTGCAAATTCTGCTGCATCATCAGCTACACAGAAAGGTATTTGGATAGTGCGTTATCCAAACTCCAGTGACCGCACTGTTTTGAATGCTGGCTCCTCCTCATATTTTGGAACATGCTATGTGACCTCCAGGAACCTTTCTTAGCAAAGATCTAAGAGAGAAAATTGGGGATTTGGGTCTTTCATGTCAACAGCACAATGGCAGTTCTTCTGAGTGTTATTCTTCTTTATAATAAACTCTCTGGAGCACCTTAGTAGTGGTGAAAGTTGTGAAGTGGCACTCCTGACTTGAATCTGGCACAGTACAGTCAAGTGCACAGTGACTCACTTCAAACAACCCTAACACAGAAAAATCCCTTTATACATAGCTGCTACCTCTCCTAATGTACCTTGCTAATTGTGCTGAATCACCAAAGATAACTTAAATACTTATTGCTTCAACCCTCTCGATAGCATTTAAAATGTGATCTTTGAACTCCAACATCCTGTCTTAGCAAACATTACTTGTAGAGGTAAAGGTTAAAGATTATGAAGTTAAAAATGAGGTACTACCAGTTTTTGCTTTCATATACTGCTTGGAAAAAGTACGAAGGAGCAATTCTTTTTTCCCTTCTTTCTTTTCTTGTCAACAGCTTCATGACAGCTATGTGGGGGTATCAAATAAATACTGGCCTTGTTCTTCTTCTGTTTTTCTGGAGTTTGGCAGAAGCTGGAAAGCTCTTGGTTGTGCCTCAAGATGGAAGTCACTGGCTGAGCACGCGTGTGGTTGTGGATAAACTCTGGGAAAGGGGACATAATATTGTTGCAGTAATTCCGGAAGCTTCTTTGCTCATGAAAAGCTCAGAAAATTTCATCATCAAAACATACACTGTGCCTTACACACAGGAATCTTTGGATAGATATTACCATTCCATTGGTAAAGATTGTTTTTTTAGCCCTCTCCTTCTAGAAAAAATTACAATTACTCTCAAAAATGTATCAGAAATGACCACCATGTTCTCTTCTACCTGTCGACATCTTTTATATGATGAAGAGCTAATGAAATACCTCCAGGATAGCAACTTTGATGCCATTATGATGGATGCTGTGTGGCCCTGTGGACCAATTATTGCTGAATTTCTCTCTTTCCCTTCAGTGTACTTCATGCGCGGTCTTCCATGTGGCTTAAACTACAGAGCTGCCCAGTGTCCTAATCCTTTTTCTTATGGGTCAAGACTTTTCACGTCCAGCTCAGATTACATGACGTTTACAGAGTGTGTGAAGAACCTCCTGGTTGGTTTTTCAGAGCATATACTTTGCTATCTGTACAGCAAAGTATAGTATAGTATAGCAAAGTATAGTATAGTACTGTACAGTTCTCTTCAAAATATGAGAACTTGGCATCTGAGTTTCTTCACAGAGATGTAACAATACTGGAACTGTTTAGCACAGCATCCATTTGGCTGATGAGGTATGACTTTGTTTTTGAGTATCCACGCCCAATAATGCTGAGTATGGTCTATGTTGGAGGCATCAACTGTAAAGCAGAAGAAACCATTACCAAAGGTTAGTCATTGTTTTGGTAGAGAGTATTACAGCATTTTTAGAGCTTATTTAATAGCGTTGCTTTTTTAAGTCCTGCCTATGGTAGTATTTGTGTTTGAGGCAATATGTGATTGAATGTGTTGCATTGTAAGCAGCTGAAAGGTTTCTGCCAAGAAGAGCTTGGGTTAAGTTGTGTCATCGCCCATGCCTAGGTACAGCCTAGCTAGGCGAGAACATATTAGACATTCATGCCATATGTGCTATATCTAGATAAATGGCAAAAAAATTGAAGTCATTAGATTTAATATCCCAAACAGTTGTGGAATATTGGATAATTTCAGGAAACTTAATTGGACAAAAAATGGAAATTTAGGACAAACTCTGTATATATACCCAGGCATTTATAGCATGCCATAGAGACTGATGATGCAGATGAATACCCCAAAACTTAGCAAGGTACGTAATAAAACACAGTAAAGGGAGCTGGTTTTCCTCTGAGTTTGTGTAAGTAGTAGTGGAAGATAGCATACATGACTGGAAAAAGAAGCCTTCATCTGGTCTCACTGTTTGACTTGTTTAGATCTGGCTGTTTAAATAGTGCAGATGTCAGTCATTGATACTGCTTTTCAGGCCAAAGAACTGTTGCAACAGCAGAAGTTATTGTTAAGATTGCATTGCATTAACTGCTGATCTTAGGGCTTGTGCTCTGATATCTGCTATAATATAGAAAGAAAGCTGAAGATAAACCATATCAACCCATAGCATATCAAATCTCTGCCAGTTGTTACTTCTTGTTTAAACTAACTAATATAATCCAAAGGTCAGACTTCTGTTACATGCTTTCTGTCCAATCAACTGAACAGACTCAAGTCAGGAAGTTCATAATTAACTGGATATTAATAAGCTAGTGATTTCTTAGTAAGATGCTACCTTTCATTCATGGCTCTGTTCAGTTTTACAGTGCAACACGTTCCCTACTCCGCCACACCTCTCCCTTGAGCATTTGAATGCCCTAGTGTTAATTCAGCTTTACTCTGCAGTGCCCAGTTGCTTAGAGCCATCACTGGGTGTGCACAGATGAGTAATTCAACTTTTACCCAAATAAAAGTTAAAAATTACCCTTATTTCTTCTCACAAACATCCAGTCCATTCAAAGTTAAACATTTACCTTAGTTACGATCAGAGTGCAAAGTAACACATTCTTTGTCCCTGTAATAGTTTTGCAGTCCTTTAAAACCTTGCTGCTATATTCTGCAGCATGAGGAAAATGGTTTCTTTGGTTCCAGAATTTAATTCCATTGTCGCCTGGGCTGTATTTTTCCTGCTTTCGTGGACCTTTTCTGAAGGGGGAAAGCTTTTGGTTGTACCTATCGATGGCAGTCATTGGCTCAGCATGCGCTCAGTTGTGGAACAGCTCAGACAGAGAGGACATGAAATAGTGGTTCTTGCACCAGAGATAAATTTGCGGATAGATTCATCGGCACATTACACCACAAAAACATACTCTGTGTCCTACAGCAAGGAGTATGTTGAGGCAGAATTTAAAAAGCTGGGCTATGAGATTTTCACACCTCAACCCTTCTTGGAAAAATTGGCAAAAATGGCAAATATTACAACAATGTTTTTTGATTCTTGCAGACGGCTTCTGGCTGACAAACAGCTGATCAAATACCTTGAAGCAAGCGCATTTGATGCTGTCTTTATGGATCCTTTTTTCCCATGTGGACAGATAGTGGCTGAACATCTATCCATACCTTCTGTGTATCTCTTACGTGGCCTTCCATGCAGCTTAGACTTCCATGCTACCCTCTGTCCAAGTCCTCCTTCTTACATTCCCAGGTTCTTCACACGCTATACAGATCGCATGACATTTCTCCAGCGTGTGCACAATCTCATAGTTAGCTTGAGCAATTCTCTGGTTTGCTTTTTTCTTTACTCACCGTATGATCATTTGATCAAAGAATTCCTCCAGCAAGAGGCAACATTGCCGGAACTGTTAAGTCATGCATCCATTTGGCTCATGAAATATGATTTTGTGTTTGAGTACTCCAGACCTGTAATGCCCAATATGGTTTTAGTTGGAGGCATAAGCTGCACTCGGGAAAAATCATTATCACAGGTTAGTTACTTTTTGTTCTATTCAGAAATGACTGCACTGTTTGCTTCCACCATTAGATGGAGCTCAGATCAGTAACAAGTGATAGGCGAAAGGGCAAAGTGAAAAGGGTTAAGGAAGCATTTTGCACCTCTTCATCCCCTGTGCAATGAGGAGAAAGTTACTCTATGAAAGATCTTTAGCTTTCCAGACAAGCACCCATGAAAAGCTGTTCGTTTTCTCTTTTCAGTAATTTCATTTTGTATATCTGTTTACAAGACTTACTGGGATAGTTTAGCCTGGAAAGAGAAGGCTCGGGGACATCCTATCAATGTAGATAAATATCTGCAGGGAGGGTATAAAGAGGATGGGGCCAGACTCTTCTCAGTGGTGCCCAGCAGGAGGAAGGGAGGCAGTGGGCACAGGCTGAAACACAGGAATCTGAATCTAGCTGAATCTAAGGAAAAACTGTTTCACTGTGAGGGTAACGGAGCACTGGAACAGGTTGCCCAGAGAGGTGGTGGAGTCTCCATCCCTGGAGGTATTCAAAAGCCGTCTGGACAGGGTATTGGGTAACCAGCTTTAGGTAATCTTGCTTGAGCAAAGGGGTTGGACTAGATGATTTCCAGAGGTCCTTTCCAACCTCGGGGTTGGACTAGATGATTTCCAGAGGTCCTTTCCAACCTCAACCATTCTGTGATTCTGTGACTTGCTGCTAGCCAGGGTAACGCAGCAAACTAAATAATGTTAATCCTCTTCCCTTGAGCAGAGGACAATGTATGAAGGCATTTCAGAGACTGTGGCAGACATGAATGAAATCCTTACCCCACAGTGAAGTAGCAAGTTATTTGCTTCTTTTATGTAAAAAACTCTGTTCCAGATGTGGACTACAAGTTTATTTTGCCTGAACTATGCCAGACATCCCAAATATGGGATGTCTGCTCCTTTCCAGCATGAAATCTGCCTATTTCCTGATGCTTTCTCTCATTTTTCAGTGAGTGTCTACTGCAGATCCTATTTGTGAAGGTGATGTGCTGCACCCACCTGGTTGGATAGGTCTGA